AAAATGATAAGGGAAAAGGGCGAGTACACACAGATAATGATGTTCAAAATTCTGGCTTTAAATTTGCAAAATTCAACACTGTGTTCTTAATCTTTTTAGTCTGGAACAGAAATAAACCAGTTTTTAATGCTATGGGGTCAGAGATCAAAAGATAGCCGGCTATAATTGCCGATCTCTTCAGAGAGATGAATTTGGTGGAACTTCCACCCAGATGTGATGCGTTTCTTAGCAACTGAACATCATCGGTTGCTAACAGCTACCACAGGGACCTCCTCAGAATGACAAGTTATTTCAGCAGTTGAAGTGTCTCCGTTTCTCCCCCTTCTTCCGCCATTGTTATACAATGTTACATGGCCATTAAGAACGTTAAGTAATTACCGGTTGGGAGAGTAATAAGGGCCGCGTGTGTGTGCGTGTGCGTGTTTTGATGGGAGATGGCAGAAGCGGAGCTGGGACTGAAACAGAATACCACCTACGTTAGCTATAGAAGGAAAAATAACAAGCCAGCTCTCGCTCTCCGCTTCGTCCTCCCAGAACATAGTTTGTCAGCTATCGAGAAGTGCGGGGGGGGGGGCGGGGTGATGCTGCTGCTGTGCCACTGTTTTAACATGTGCTTACGGAGCATTACATGCTTCCCGGACGCTCTGTCATTAGCGATCTCAAAGATGCCCACATGGCCATTGAGGGATACATAGTTTACAGAGTCCAAGTTCACAAACACATGGTGGAGGGGGGTCGTAATTAATACAAGCCGAACTGGGTGAGTCACAGGCGCCATCAGGGAGGCAGAGCAAGCGACGCTCCGCGCCGCACTGACAGCTGGGCCCGGAATAATCCCGCATTTTTTCGCAGGGAACTCGAAATTACATTATGTCACACTGCATTTCTCACAAGCACCCCAAAAAGGATTAAGGCCCGCAAACGATTTGGGGAATGATGAGCTGCCACAGGACGGGCGGAAGGTTAGCTGGCGTCTACCCAATAGTGTCGCTCACTCCCGGCACGGAAAACACGGAGGACAAGCAGGATTGCTAACCCAGACAAGCGCTTCGGAACGGATGGACGATTTGTGGCGATACGACAGCAGAATATCGAGCCACAAAGCGATGAGACAAATGCTTCCATCCCTGGTGATGAGGAAAAGGAGACGGGAGCTGGAAGGTGGCAGGACTGTCGCCCATGCCGGAGCTTAAATGGTTATCTGAGAGCTAGCATGTGTTTGCAGGTGTCTCTGAGAGCTAGCGTGTGTTTGCAGGTGTCTCTGAGAGCTAGCGTGTGTTTGCAGGTGTCTCTCAGAGCTAGCGTGTGTTTGCAGGTG